CAAGGGGCAATTAGGGATGGACAAATGTTGGAAATTGAAAGTGACGCTCAAATCCCATTTGATAATTTAAAAAAAAACATCTTGATGAAGGATCTAAATGTGTTGATCAAAATTGTTTGGTGAAGACAATGAGTTGTGAAGGCAATATAAGGAGACTGCAAATTTGGGAGATTGTACACTTTGGTAGGAAGAGAAGCAGCATATTATTTAATTGGAGGGAGATTAGTTTATTGGTATAGGAGGCACAACAAAAATGTAATATGTAGGTACAGCAAGTGATTAAAAAGGTAAATGAAATATAAAGGTATGGATAGAATTGTATTGAGCATTGGTTAGATCAAATAGGGAGGAGCTTGCACAGTTTTGGTCTCCTTATTCAAGAAAGGATACAAATGCACAAGCAGTCCAAACTCCAAAAGAAAATTTAAATGGAAAAGATAAACTTACCACAGATCTCAAATAAAATGCTATAAACATACAACTGGCCCATCAAAAGAGAAGAATTAATGTTTACAGTGTAGATCTTTTCAACAGAATTGTGAAACATTTCCAATATTATTTATATTTTAGATTTATGCTTCCTAAAAACAGCTCTGTCCAAATTTCTATGTTGATTAGGATATAGATACTCAAACTGTTGTTCTGCTATGGGTTCCTCTTTACTTTCCTAGAGTGGCTGAGACCGAAGGTCCTGGAATACTGTTTATAACACTGATCACCATACTTACAAGGTGTAAGTATGAAGGTGTGAAAATAGATAAGTCCCCTGGGCCGGATGGGATTTATCCTAGGATTCTCTAGGAAGCTAGAGAGGAGATTGCAGAGCCTTTGGCTTTGATCTTTATGTCGTCATTGTCTTCAGGAATAGTGCCAGAAGACTGGAGACTAGCAAATGTTGTCCCCTTGTTCAAGAAGGGGAGTAGAGACAACCCTGGTAATTATAGACCAGTGAGCCTTACTTCGGTTGTGGGTAAAGTGTTGGAAAGGATTATAAGAGATAGGATTTATAATCATCTAGAAAGGAATAATTTGATTAGGGATAGTCAACACAGTTTTGTGAAGGGTAGGTCGTGCCTCACAAACCTTATTGAGTTCTTTGAGAAGGTGACCAAACAGGTGGATGAGGGTAAAGCGGTTGATGTGGTGTATATGGATTTCAGTAAAGCGTTTGATAAGGTTCCCCATGGTAGGCTATTGCAGAAAATATGGAGGCATGGGATTGAGGGTGATTTAGCGGTTTGGATCAGAAATTGGCTAGCTGTAAGAAGACAGAGGGTGGTGGTTGATGGGAAATGTTCATCCCGGAGTTCAGTTACTAGTGGTGTACCTCAAGGATCTGTTTTGGGGCCACTGCTGTTTGTCATTTTCATAAATGACCTGGATGAGGGCGTAGAAGGATGGGTTAGTAAATTTGCGGATGACACCAAAGTCGGTGGAGTTGTGGATAGTGCGGAAGGATGTTGCAGGTTACAGAGGGACATAGATAAGCTGCAGAGCTGGGCTGAGAGGTGGCAAATGGAGTTTAATGCGGAAAAGTGTGAGGTGATTCACTTTGGAAGGAGTAACAGGAATACAGAGTACTGGGCTAATGGTAAGATTCTTGGTAGTGTGGATGAGCAGAAAGATCTCGGTGTCCATGTGCATAGATCACTGAAAGTTGCCACCCAGGTTGATAGCATTGTTAAGAAGGTGTACAGTATGTTAGGTTTTATTGGTAGAGGGATTGAGTTTCGGAGCCATGAGGTCATGTTGCAGCTGTACAAAACTCTGGTGCGGCTGCACTTGGAGTATTGCGTACAGTTCTGGTCACCGCATTATAGGAAGGATGTGGAAGCATTGGAAAGGGTGCAGAGGAGATTTACCAGGATGTTGCCTGGTATGGAGGGAAGATCTTATGAGGAAAGGCTGAGGGTTTTGAGGCTGTTTTCGTTAGAGAGAAGAAGGTTAAGAGGTGACTTGATGGAGACATACAAGATGATCAGAGGATTAGATAGGGTGGACAGTGGGAGCCTTTTTCCTCGGATGGTGATGGCTAGCACGAGGGGACATAGCTTTAAATTGAGGGGTGATAGATATAGGACAGATGTCAGAGGTAGGTTCTTTACTCAGAGAGTAGTAAGGGCGTGGAATGCCCTGCCTGCAAAAATAGTAGACTTGCCCACTTTAAGGGCATTTAAATGGTCATTGGATAAACATATGGATGATAATGGAATAGTTTAGGTTAGATGGGCTTCAGATTGGTTTCACAGGTCGGCGCAACATCGAGGGCCGAAGGGCCTGTACTGCGCTGTAATGTTCTATGTTACAAAGGATGTCAATGCATTGGGAACAGTTCAGAGAAGGTTTAAGACCATAAGGAAATAACTGTAGTGGCCCTTTAAACCCCTTGAGCCTGGTCTGCCATTTCAAAAGGATCGTGGCTGATCTGACATTCCTCATCTCCACTGTCCTGCATTTTCCCCATAATCATCAATTCACCAAATGATCAAGAATCAACCTTACACACATGGACTCTGCCCCCACAGTTCTCTGCATTAGGGAGTTCCAAAGACTCATAACTGAGAGAAGTTCCTCCTCATCTCAGTCTTAAATTGGCATATCTTTATTCTGAGACGATGCCCTCTGGTCCTTGACTCTTCCAAAAATGGAAGCAAGCACAAGATCATAAGTTATAGGAGCAGAATTAGGCCATTTGGCCCATCATTCAATCATGGTTGACATGCTTCTCAACCAGATTCTCCTGCCTTCTCTCTGTAACCCTTGATCCCGTCACTAATCAAGAACTGGTCTCAGTCTTAATTGCACTCAAATGACTTGGCCTCTGCAGGCTTCTGTGGCAACATGTTCTACAGATTAACTGCCCTCTGACTGAAGAAATTCTCATCTCAGTTCTAAAGGGTCACCCCTTTGCTCTGATGCTGTGCCTTCAGTTCCTAGTCTCTCCTACTGGTCATCAGTGGAGATATCTCCACAGCAACTATATCCGGACTCTGCATGCTGTCAATTTCAAATCAGATCCTAGATCCACTCCCCCCCACACCCCACCATTCTTTCAAACCCCAATACAGATCCAAAATCGTGTCAGCATTTACCCTGTCAAGTCACTTAAGAATCTTGCACATTTCAACGAGATCACCTCTCATTCTAAAATCCAGTGAGTAGAATCTCAACTTATTTAGCCTCACAAGACAATCCTCCAAAGCAAGGATTGTCCTAATAAACCTTCTCTGAACCACTTCCAATAAGATATTTTTTCTTAAATAAAGGAGAGAAAAACTGCTCTCATGACACCACTCTATTCCCTGAAATGAGTGAATTACCTTATGATGAAAGGCCCAGCTAATATTTTTCCAGTTTATAACAATCAGGCATCTCAATGAAAAATACAACGCAAATGGAACTTGACTAGTTACATGGCAAAAGGATATTTTTTCGTGGGGACATCTAGAGGAAGGGCTCAGTTTGTGCCCATTTAAAACAGATAAAGAAACATTGGGGGCTTGTCTCTTTGGAAGTCCCTCCCTCAAAAAGGCAGTGGATGCGGAATCTGAAAATATTTTTAAGGCAGAGGTAGATGATTCTTGGGGAGATGCAGCAATGTAGAGTTGAAGTTAAAAACCAGATCAGCCATGATCTTATTGAATGGGGGAAAGCAGGTGTGAAGGGCCAAGTGGCCAACTCATTGCTGGTTTGTACATTAGCGCTCAGGCTGACATGAAAATCAAGCAACTTATGCAGGGGAAGTCTGGTGCCATCATCTTCCAGTTTTAAATTCAGACTAAGTTACAGCAACAAATCCTGCAACCACCAGGATTGTACTGGTCTTACCAGTGAGACTTGCACACCAGGAAAAGGCACATCATAGGGACTGACCTGTCACTAGTGTTTTAGCTCTATTTTATAGTGAGACCTTATGCCCTAGTACCACTTATGCCCCACTGTTATAGTGGCAGACCTACCCTCACCACACTATACAGCTATTAGTGACTGACCGGTTCTCACCAGCACTGTACCACATAGTTTTATATCTATTTAGATATTTCTATCCGTCAGTATCCCAATGTTATATAGTGACAGACCTGTACAAACCACTACCGAACCCCAGTGTTTAAAACGTGAGCCTTGCTGCAAACTGTGGGCTTGGGATGCAGCCACCAGCAACACTGCCCCTAGGTAACTATTGTGCAGTGCTTCACAGGGTAAACTAGCTACTCAAGCAATCACATCACACCCTCTGGGGGCATAGAGCAGGTACTTTCAGTAGAGACGTACTGAACTGCAACAGGAATGGGCAGAAATGACTATAACAAGGGAGCATAATTTTAAAGGTGATTGGAAGAAGGTATAAGGGAGATGTCAGAGATAGTTCTTCACAGAGAGTGGTGGGCGTGTGGAATGGAGTCAGATACTTCAGAGACATTTAAGCGACTCTTGGATAGGCATATGGAGGATAGCATAATGTAGGGTATGCAGGGTAGATTGATCTTAGTAGGATAATAGGTCGGCACAACATTGTGGGCCGAAAGAACAGTACAGTACCAGCCAATGTTCTATGAATGCTTGGACAGGACAGGATTTGAAGATCAAATGTATGAAAATATAAGCTCAGCACTAACTTCCAGTGAGTGAATAAATAAAAGTCTATTGTATGGGCTTTAAGTGCATACTTTGCCATAAACCTCCATCTGAGGGGTGAAGGACAAATTCATAATCAGTTCCTCATTCTCCTACCAACGTGAGAAAAAAAGTTAAATCTGTGCAGAGCATAAACTGGTTGGTTAGAATGTCCTGACACGTGCCGAGAGACACTATTCCATGAGCCTTCACAGAATCACCCATGTACAAGGTCAGTTAGAAACAGCAAATCAATATTTTTTCCAAACACTTTTATTTATAAAGACAGGATTTTAAGTCAGCAGGTCCTGGAGGAGAACAAACACTGCTTAATGAGGTTTAGTCGCTGTCAACTGGTGGGAATGCATAGAAATTCCACTTTTTTCCAAAACTGGAACTATGAGTTGAAAGAGAAATCCAGAAATGGTTTTACACTGTTCAGCAAGAGAGCCTTTCAAAATATCATTATCACAACAGGGTACAGGAACATTGGTTTTGATACAGGTGCTGAGAATTATGTACAAAACTAATGACTTAAAAAGGAGGTTTGGAGACAGGCACCAGCAAATTTACTAACGGGCCCCAGCACTTTCAAATGTGCTCAGAATACCAGCCATTCGCAACCCTCCCCAGGAGAGAGAACTGTAACGTCACCTTGCATTCTCCCATGTGGCCATTCCTCCTGCATGAACTTGGACTATTTGACCAAAGAGAGACTGAGCATTGTAAGTTGTCCTGATATGTCCAAACGCAATACAACAAGATGCGGTGAAGAATAATCAGGAGCAGGTAACGCGCCACACACACACACACACACACACACACACACACACGGGCCCAACGAGGATTGAAATTAAAAATTCACAGAAACTCCAATTACTTTCTCAACTAATGGGAAAGGGAACAAAGCAGCAGAAAAAAATCCTAAGAAGCTACATATCAAATGTTATTTTATTTAAACTCAAGTTTCAAATCAAAAGAACTCATGCGTGCACCTTAAGGTTCAACCATTCCCGTTTAAAAAGCTAATCAATTCTACATCCAGCACCCAACTGCTGTTATACCAAATACTAGCAATACAAAGAGGAGATTTGCACCTCCCACTACTCCTAACCTTAGAAATGCCAATAAATTTGCTGGTGCATCCACTATCAAATCCTGCACAGTGACATTTAGTGATATCAGTGTTAATGGAGATGATCACGCCTTTTCTAAATAGAAAGGAATCAACTCTTGTTGTAGCCGTACTGGCCACATCTTAACAAAAGAGGCAACAGACAGCAACTAGGAAAGACGTAAATTAACAGCACCCTAATATGATACTGAACATTTGTAGGTGGATAGTTTAATACACAGACCTCCTGACATACCACATCCAGGACAAAGCTGCGATGTTCAGTTCAGTCTTCTCCCCTTCTTTCCAGGAGGCCAACTCTGTTCGGGTATCAGCCCATGGTTACAAGCCCTCTATATCAGAGCTGAGCTTCAATACTGCTACTTTGATCTCAAGTTGCATCAGAGCAGGATCTGAGCCTGATCTCTGTGACATCTACACACTTTCCCAGTCAATGGCTGTGGATAACAGTTGAGGAGTGTTGCCTGATGTTCTTATCAGGACTGTCCACTACACTATTCCAGTTACGAGGCCAGCAACTGATCAAAGAGCAAACCAGAGACCACCTGATCTGGATACCTGATAACACATGTACCTTCCACTGAGGCAATGAGAATTTTCAATTCAAAAAGAATGTCAATTCAATCTGGATCTTTTAGTTCCAATTTTCAATCAGTTAAAGAATACACACAGGTTCACACACACACACAAACACACACACAGACACACTCCACATGCATACACACCTTTCCCATGGTGGAAATTTGTGCTCTTAACCATAATTTAAACAAAACCAATTCCAAAAAATGCTTTTTTTAGCTCTTGATATCAAAAGCAATGAAAAGCAGAATTAACCCTAAACCACTCAGAGCAGTTAATTTGCAAAATAAAACAAGTTACCCTGGGTGAGAAAGGGTTCAGAAATGTTCTTCCCTGCTGTGATAATTCAGAAATCTCTCACCTGGACACTCTGTCAAACACTCAAAAAAAGGATAGAAGAGTCAGCACACTTAGAAGAGCAGGGCTCCCATGCTTCCCACTTCACTCTGCTCTTTCACGAAGATCTCAAAGTACTGGTAAATGATGGTCACTGCCAATAAGATACCAGTCCCAGAGCCTATGGCTCCCAGAAAGTCAGCAAGTACAGACAGTGCACCAATGCACAGGCCTCCAAAAGCTGCAGCAGTGGGAATATACCTGCAAAATAAAAAGTTGAGGATGCTCAAATACAAATTGCAGAATTTTATATTCACGATATTGCATTGCCAAACAAAACCGGTGATTCCACTTAAAATAGGCAGAGTTTAAGACATAGCCCAAGTTCTAAATTGAGCCTAGACTGATGGCGCAGGTTAGGGAGCCTTAATCCAGTGACCACTATAACCACAATATTCCCTCAACCTTGTCAGCGCTAATTAGTAATCGCAAACCACAAGTGGGTTGATCAGAAGACGGAAATTTTTTCACACTCCCTTTCAGGAGTTCTATTGTTTCTAACTCTCACCTTGTCATACTTATTCCTCAGAACAACCAAACATCTTTGTAAGGACATAATTGAAATTGTGTAGGTACACGATCATACCATGACCAGTGCTGTGCCACAAGGATCAGTGCTGAGCCCACTGCTTTTTGTCATTTATATAAATGATTTGTGTGAACATAGGGAGGTATGGTTAGTAAGTTTGCAAATTACACTAAAATTGGAGGTGTAGTGGACAGCGAAGAAGGTTACCTCAGAGTACAACATGACCTTGATCAGATGGGCCAATGGGCTGAGGATTTGAGGATGGGGTTTAATTTAGATAAATAGGAGGTGCTGCATTTTGTAAAGGCAAATCAGGGCAGGACCTACACACTTAATGGTAAGGTCCTGGGGAGTGTTGCTGAACAAAGAAGCCTTGGAGTGCAGGTTCATAGTTCCTTGAAAGTGGAGTCCCAAGTAGACAGGATAATGAAGGCATGCTTGCCTTTATTGGTCAGTGCATTGACAATAAGCGTTGAAAGGTCAAGTTGAGGCTGTAAAGGACATTGGTTAGTCTCCTGTTGAAATGTTGCGTTCAATTCTGGTCTCCCTGCTGTAGGAAGGAGGTTATAAAACTTGACAGGGTTCGGAAAAGATTTACAAGGATGTTGCCAGGGTTGGAGGGTTTGAGCTACAGGGAGAGGCTGAATAGGCTGGGGCTATTTTCCCTGGAGCGGAGGCCGAGGGGTGACTTCAGAGAGCGGTTCATAAAATCATGAGGGGCATGGATAGGGTGAATAGCCAAGGTCTTTTCCCCAGGATGGGGAGTCCAAAACTAGAGGGCATAGGTTTTGGGCGAGAGGGGAAAGATTTAAAAGGGACCTAAGGGGCAAATATTTCAGAGAGAATGGTTTGTATGTGGAATCAGCTGCCACAGGAAGTGGTGGAGGCTGGTACAATTACAACATTTACAAGGCATCTGGATGGGCATATGAATAGGTAGGGGTTTATAGGGATATGGGCCAAATGCTGGCAAGTGGGACTTGCTTAATTTAGAATATCTGGTCTGCACGAGTTGGAACAAACAAACAAACAAACAAACAAAGTCTGTTTCTGTGCTGTACAGCGCTATGACTATTTTGAGTCCAAATGTACTTGACAGGAATGACAGTGCAAGGAAATGGAAACACTGAACACAATAATAAAACAGAATCCCCAGTGTGGTAACAGGCCATTCGGCCCAACAAGTCCACACCAATCCTCCGAACAGCATCCCATCCAAATCCTTCCCCCTACTCTATCCCTGTAACCTTGTATTTCCCATGGCTAAAACACCTAACATCCCTGAACACTATGGGTTATTTAGCATGGCCTATCCACCTAAATTCACCATGAGCAGCAGGTGGCTGCGTCTAGTTTGTTCTGGCACTGACGAAAACAAAGTGAAACTTCATGCTTCCCTTCCTGTTGTTCTCCTAATGCACCTATATTTCTGGTTACAACGCAAAGGAAGAGTGTTCCAATGGAAAGTTTTTGTACATTAATGTTGAAAATCAACTGCAGACAGACACTGTCACTTCACGGAATAGAGAGCCCTGACTTTGATTAGCTGTGCAGAAATATGCTGATGTTTGTCCACCTATCTAAAAATTGTGCCTGTTCTCTGCTGTATGCGTGGCATTCACTCCCTAAACCAGAGTGTTCTAGAATTTACCACTACGACTAAAGGGACTGCAGCAACTTGAGCCGATGGAGGGCAACTAAGGGTGGACAAAAGCACCATATAAAAACATTTATATCTTTCACTACATCTTCCTACAACCTTCTAAAGACACTTCCACTAACATGAGTTTTCCTTAAACAATTGGTTAGACTTCAAAAATAGGTGGGAAGGGCCAACACTATACAAGGCACAAGTCACACCAAAGCTAGAATACTGTAGCAGTTTTGGTCCCCTCATCTAAGACAAGATATACTGGTAATGGAGGCAGTCCTGAGAAAGTTCTCAAGGTTAATCTGGGTATGGAGGGGCTGTGTTATGAGAAGTTAAGTAGGTTGGACCTGCACTCATTGCAGTTTAGAAGAATGATAGGTAACCTATTAAAACATACAAGATTCCTAGAAGACTTGACAGGATAGATGTGGAATGGGGCCCAGAGGGCATAATCTCAGTCTAGGAGTCTGCTCAGTATTTCAGATGTGAAAACATCAACTGCAGAATAGTACAGCACAGGAGGCAGCTATTTCATACATTTGAACCATTAGAAGTACACTTCCACTTGTTTTTTTAAACTCCTAACAGGATGAGGGCATCGCTGGCTAAGCAGCATTTACTACAGCACCAGGCCCTGCTTTTTCTCTTCCCCCAAAACCTTCTACCCTTCAGTTATTTATCGCATTCCTCTTCAAAGGTATCCAACTTCCAGTTGGATACTATGTCGGGGGTAACAACCCACTGCATTAAACAGCTTTTCCTTCCTTTGATTCTTTTTGCCAGTCACCATAAATCTGCACTCTATGGTTACTCATCCTCCAGTCATTTTGAAATCAGTTCATTATACACTCCATTTATGCTTCATGACTATAAACACCTCAATCATGTTTTTCCTTAATCTTCTCAGATGTTAAGAACAGCCACCAGTCTCCTGTTCTGTAATTCCTCATCCTAGGAATCACTTAGGAAGCCCTCTCTAAAGCTTCCACATCCTTCCTAAAGGAAAGTGCCCAGAATTGCACATTGCTCCAGCTCAGATGGGTTCAATACACAGCTTTAAAACTCAGCTGCACGGGTTTAATATAACCTTTGTTTTTGTACTTTGGGCTTTATAAATAGAATCACAGCAGCCTACTTGTTTCATTAACTGCAGTATTAACTTGTCCTGCTAAATTCAAAGATTTCTGCAAACACCTCAAGAATGAACTGTCCCTCAATGTTCTCACCAAAATGCATTGCCTCACATGCAAGACCACTAAACATACGAGCATAAGTGGGCCATTGACCCATTGAGTCTGCTCTCCCATTCAACAAGGTCTAGCTGATCTGATTATCTGCAAATCCACTTTCTAGCCTCCAACTTTAAATATTCAGCTCATCTTTTCTTCTTACTAAGATGCATAGCCTCACATTTTGACATTGCATTCCAACTGTCAAGTCTTTGTCCATTCGCTCAACTTGTCTATTTCCCTCTGCTGACTCATGCAGACCACTTGCCTTCTCACCTATTTCAAGGTAAGACAATAAACTAGTTATAATTCCTTCAGTTCCTCTATCCAAGTCATTAGTACATACTGTAAATAATCATGGCCCCAGCATTCATCCCCTTGGCTCTCACTAACTGCGGGTTGCTAGCCTGAAAACATCTCTTTTATGCCAATTCTGTCTATTAGTTAGAGAATCCTCTATCCAAAGGAGGATAATCATTACCTCCAACACCATGGGCTTTTATCTTATTACATAGCTCTTTTAAAAGAAATCGCTATGGGATTCAGGCGTGGCTGGAGGGGTCAGCATTTATTGCCTGTCTCCAGTTGTCCTGGTGGTGGTGGTGGTGGTTCTGAGCGGCTTTCTTAAACCACTGCAGTCCACAGAGTGTAGGTTCACCCCAATACAGTTAAGGAGAGGTCCAGGCTTTTGATCCAATGACACTGAACAAACAACACTATATTACCAAGTCAGAATGAATGGCATGGAGATGAACTTGTGTGTGGTACCTTATTGAATATCTTTTGAAAATCCAAATACATAAACATCTTTGGTTTAAGGTTTTAGCAAAAAGATTTGTAGCTCGGGTGGAGAGGGAGGTTGACAACTTTGGTTTCCTACGTCTATTGTGACGTTCTCAAAAGAATTCTAATAAATTTGTCAAGCAATATTCCCCTTAAATCCATATTGACTACTTGATTGCATTATGTATTTCTAAATGCTTTGCAGTTACATCCTTCATTAACAAACAATTTCCTAAAGATAGCTGCTAAGCCAACCAACCTATAGTTTCCTGCATTTTGGATCCCTCCATTCTGTATTAGGGTGTCACAATGCTTTTTTCTCCCCCACCCCCAATCCTCTGGGACTTTTCTAGAAGCCAAGGATTCTTGGAAGATTACTACCAGCACATCAATCGACTTTGCTGCTACTTTTAATGTCCTAGAAAGCAACCCATCAGGTCCAGGGGTACCTTTCTTTCTCTCCATCCAAAGTGTCAACTCAAATGGCAAAAATGGTAAAAGGCTTCAAGTGTTTCATCAGCCTGACTGCATCAAATGGCATGACAGGCTCAACAGCTGAGCTAGTCCTGACCTCAATACTTCAAATGGCATCACACTACTGGATAGCGTACGATAGAAAATACATTGCTGCCTAAGTATTTACGAACCAGCACACATCTGATCAGATCAGAGGCAACAATCAAACTGTCCGATACTGATATGAAAACAATTATTCTTTTAATAGAAAGATCCAACTATGTAATATGACCCACCTGTTAAGTTCATGGACCATTGAGGTGTCTCTGTGTCCTCGCATCACCATCTGCTGTTCTTTCAGCTGTTTGGCTACCTGTAAATCAAATGAGAAAGAACATTCATGTTTAATACTGCTACCAGAGAATGTTCAAGATTTTATCAATACAAGTCCTTTACTGTTTCAGGAACAGTCTCTGATCTTGGACCAAAAGCAGCAATCCAATTATTCCAGCAAACTCAAAATAAAACACAAACAGCAGCTGGATGGAAACTCAACACCAAACACTGGACCAATATAAACACTGACCAACAAGGCAATCATTGCAGCACAAGCTGAAGATAAAACATCATGACAGACCAGCTGACGAGTTTTAGTCACTATTCTGAATCAACTCAACGATATCTTTAAAGGCCAACCAGATCACCTGCTTTCCCAAGAGATTTACTGCACTGGTTTATGCCAGCTTCACCCAACCACAGAAAAACTGGTGGGAAAAACAAACTTCGTTATTATTCACTCTCCCACTTGCTTGACAGGGGAATGAACCTGGAACTTCTAGGGAAGGGTCACCAGACTTGAAACATTAACTGATTTTTCTTCAGATGCTGCCAGACCTGCTTAGTATTTCCAGCAATTTGTTTTTGTTCTTGATTTATAGCATCCAAGGTTCCTTCTGTTTTTAAAGGGAGTGAGCCTGCTTGTTGCAAATATTTCTAAAGCTATCACCAGACTACATTGTACCCTGGAGCCCAGGTCTAAGTAACATCAACTAAGAACCTCACCATTTGGATCCTTCAGGGTAAGGATGCTCAAAATGGGTGTCAAGTGATTTTTAAAAAAAAAAGAAATCCGGCAAAACCAACTGATCAGATCACAATATTGGGGATCAGCAGGGTTTTGATTCAAATTACAGGGATCAGTTCAGACAAACTTCCACTTCTCAACCCGTGCACAAGTTCCACATCTCAGGGGGAGTGGGAGGGCAAGCAAGAGACAACAGGAAAATGCACACACAGTGTTGCCATTTCAGAATCTCTGTGCACTCAACTCCTTGCTCAGTACCAGTTCCAGATGTCTCTACATTCTTGTAATTCATATTTTTAATAAGCTGCTATTCTTCTCTTGCAATCAAATGTCAGTGAGCTATTCAACTGCGAGGGGCACTGCTTAGATTGAGGAGTTACTCCTCTAGGGGGCCCTAGCAGTGGGACTGTGTCATTACATGAGTAACAGAGGCAGATTCAACAGTTATCCAACTTTTTATTTGGAAAGCAACTATCCAAAGAGAAATAAAAATGTTCCAGGAGACAAGTCTGAATGGAAATAGCAGAGCTGCTCACAGACAGCCAAAGACAAAAGGCTAAATGGCCTCCACTTGCATTGCAACTTTCCATGATTCTGTGAAGACGGAACTTAATATTAGCACAAAGTACTGAAGGGTTAGGTCCAGCAAATGTCTAGTAGCCTCCACTCTGTCTCAATGTTATAATAGTTACCTGCTCCACTGAGTCAGAACTTTACGAGGTAACTTGTGATTTTTGAGGGTGACTGCCTTTAGTGCTAAATTAGCAGTTTAACAATGAGATCCAAAACACACTAAAGAACCAGACTGAAATCAAATCCAGGTCTGCAGAGAACTGAGCAAGGTAACAATAGTTCAAAATTTTAACATCAGGAGGGAGCTAATGGCAAGATTCCCACAGAGAGAAAAATAAATCTTCACTGTGTGGACACTTACATCTTTGGCAGAAGAACCAGACACCTCGATCCAGGTCTTGGAGAAGAACGCACAAGAGCCCAACATGAAGACAATATAAATCACCGCATGAACAGGGTCATCCAACACCGAACCGAATGATTCTGGAGGGGAGAGGTAATAGCACAGACCTCCAACCGGATACGCACGGGCTGGACCACCACCTGTGTTATCCTTCAAAAGCAAAGAGAGGAAACAAAATGGGGTGAAAGGGCAATCCTAGTTTGCTGTCAAAACCCAAATTTCAGCTAAAACATGGCCGTACTTCTTCACTTTCTCCCCATCTGTTGAAGATTCTGATGCTTAATGCAGGTTTATGTGGCTGTCAGGTCTATCACCAAATGCCCGGCCTTTGAAAGAGTTTCCATTGATGGGATAGTGTCATACTGATCTCAGCTTTCTAACTTCCAGCACAGGGTTGTACTCTGCAACATAAGCTATGGTACCATCTCCAAAGAGGATCGAGGGCACCAGCAGTACTTGAATTCTAGAGACCAGTTAGCTGTACATAAGGATCCCTGCTACACCGGATGAGGCATCTACCAATAAACCAGAAAGCAGCCACTGTGTCTCAATCTCAGCAACACCCCTCCCTACCCTATTGACCAAGTAATCTGTTAATTCCTATTAAAAAAAGGAAAAAATAGAGAATTCAAATTTTATGAAAGCTGAATGTCAGATACATGGAGTTATTTGAATTTTCAAACCTGTTGCTGTATTGAAATTTTTGAAGCACTAGAGCAGACTCTAGTCTCATACCTCTAGTCTCCATAAATCCTACAAAACATTGGTTCCACTACACAAGTCTGCTTCTCTACTGCTTTTTGAACTGCAGCATGTGGACAAGTTCAGTCTAGGAAAATATCAACACATACTTATATGGTGTTTTTCACAAAGTCCCACAGGAACATTATTAAAATCAAAATCTAACACTGGTCCTCAAAAGCTACGACTAGGGAGGAAGGTGAAGACAGAATTCCAGAAATTGAGTTGCAGGGAACTTGAGATGGCCGTCGATGTTGGAGAGATTAAAACTTGGGATCCACACGAGGCCAGAATCAGAGCAGCACAGGTACAATTAGAAGGTAATGGGTTGGGAGAGGTCTGGCCTACATGTGACTCCAAACCCACTGCACTGTGTTGATTTTTAACTGCTCTCTGGGCAATTAGGGATAGGCAATAAATGCTGACTAACCAGTGACACCCCTCATTCCGTGAATGAATGATTAAGAAATACAGGCGCCCCATCTCAAATTCAGCAATCTAGGTGATACAAATGGCACTCATGTATGGTCTTTGAGATCACATGAAGACACAAGCAAGACCATATCAACTTGATTAATTTTGGTTTGTTCGCTACTTGAGGTTTTTGGTTTAAAGACATGTCCTTCACACCTCTATCAAAAAAAAAAATTTACTTACAGACCATGTCCCCAACAGATTGACTAGAAAGTTGCCACTGAATCTTGTAGACAACATCTGAGAGATGACGTAGAGGTTGGAAACTAGAGCAGACTGGAGGATGATAGGAATATTTGATGTGTAGAAAAGCTTGATGGGATAGGTGTTGTATTGTCCACGGTAACGGGCAGACTTGATTGGCAGATCCACCCTGAAGCCCTGCAATGTGCAAACAAAGATGCTTTAAATTCAATTATTATTGAAGTGATTAAAATTTAAAAATTAAGACCAGTAGAACTTAAAGCTGGAGCAAACAATTTTCTTTACTTATACTAGAGGTAACTGGAATAAACCAAAAATCTATTGCCCACACTAAATTCAACAAAGCTGGCATTTAAAAAAAAAAATCTAGCAGAGTATTACAGAACAGAAAAAAAAAGGCCATTCTACCCACCGTCCCTATGCAAACAGTGTTATCACAGGTGACTCCTCTCACTGGCTTAGTCTTTAGACCAGAACGTTAAGACATTTCAAGTGCATACCCAAGTATTGTTTAAATGAAATGAAGGTTTCTGCCACCACCTCTCTTTCAGGTCAAGAGTTACTGGGCTCCACACCCTCTCCAAACCCATCCGCTTAGTCAAAATATTTCTCCCGAATTTCCCTCTAATCTTTCTAAAGCAACTTTAAAACCTACATCCCTCATTACTGACTTTTCTGCTAACAAAAGTAGGTCCTTCTCCTCCATTCTAGGTGCTCTAGTTTTATACACAATTATACATGTCCTCAGCCCCTGCTCCAAAGTAAGTCAAACCTAGTCTTCAAATCTCGACTCATCACCGTAATGCTCCATTCCGGGCAGCATTCCCTTGATCTGCTCTCTGTACTCATTATTGCAATCACATTCTTCAAGCCATGAGGTGGCCAGAACTACGCAGCTCATGACCAGGGAAAAAGCCAAAAAGAGGAGCAACACTGCTTCAAAATCCAATCAGCTCACAAATGTTCTTCAGTAATCAGAAGCTGCCATTCACATTCACCCAGTCTGTTTTAAAAGTCCAGCTTGTCAATGCCCTCTCCCCAGGTAGGGTAAAAATATATTCTTAAGTACTACATTACCTTGATCATGAATAGACAAAAGCAAATACAACTGCAACAAGAAAACAAAAGCAAAATATGATAGAAGCTATAAATTAAAGAAATGTTGGAAAGATTCCAGCTGGGTCACATCTGTGGAGAGTGTTAGCGTTTCAGTTCTAATGGAAGGCTCACTGACCTGAACTTAACTTTATTTGTCTCTCTACAAACGTGGCCACAGTACATCCCTATAGTCAGTAATGAGTTGATCAAGTGCTAATCTTCTTGACAGCCCTATTTTCACCACTCACCTGGAAGTATATCACTACTGCAAAAACAAAGATGGTGGCAATGAGGTTCATCAGATTTGGCAGGTTCTGACGGTAAAAGGCTTCACGAAGAGCACGGACTTTGTCCTGCCGTGTGGCCAGCAGATGAAACAAGGCAATGATTGATCCCTCAAACTCTGTCCCTGTTGAAAAAAAGATCCACAATTGAAAGAGGATAAGTGCTAGATTGTGTGTAGAGTGTATAGCTCCATATAGAGTTCAGATGTAATAAAAATTATGTGATGTCCGAGTGAGGGTGCGAGTGAGAATGCTCTTTGCTGATAAGTTAAGGCAAAATTGCATTTTAAAAATTTGATTTATGCTCAATAATAGCGACATGCATACCCCCTGCCATTACTTTGATAATGTGGAACTCTTGATCAATGTGAAAGCCTGGTCCCTTAGGTGCTGATTCATAAAACATTTGCTGTATAAAAGTAAAGAGATCATTCTGATTACCTCTTCCAGTGTTCACTGTGGTTGGGCTGAAAGCTTTCCACACGATGGTCTCACAGATGTTTGTAGCGATGAAGAGAGAGATACCAGATCCAAGACCATATCCTTTCTGCAGCAGTTCATCCAGCAGCAACACAATCAGCCCAGCAACAAACAACTGAGAAAAAAAAAAGTTAAAAACCCTTTAACAAGGCCCAATGAAACTCCACAAGGAGAAAGCTAAACAGCTTGCCTGAACAGCTCAAAACTTGAATCATCACTATTGCCAAAAATTAAACATTTCAAAATTACGCACTTCAGCAGCAAATGAGCAATTTCATGGCCTCTTACAGCACACAGCAGCAACACTGGCTGCTTAAACAACATTCAAAACAGAAAAAGGATAGCAATATAATTAAGTGACTAAATATCACTTCTCAGTACTCATACTAGACTCAATTTGTTTTCCCCAGCTATATCTAATTTCCATTTGAAAGGATCAAAAATGCTTCCACCACCTCTCATGGGAATCTATTTCATTGTCATGACCATTATTTCAGTGAAATTTTGTAATTGGAAACTGTTGAGTTCAGTTCAACTAAGCACCCACATTTTCAAACCTCAAGATCAAGTTCAGGAAAAAATCTGTCCAAGGCTGATTTCAAAAGATAACATATTTTACCAGAACAATTGCCAGAGGGCATGACAACTACCCACAGCATTACCTGGATAATGATCAGTAGACAGATGCCTGCTCCCATTTCTGATGGATCTCCATACATCCCGGTCATGACATACACAATGGCTTGTCCAATAGTGATGATCATACCAAAAACTGCAGGGTGCAAGTATTTACAGTTAAGTTGTGTATAAGAAAGTTTGACAACGTGCAAATATACAGATGAACATGAAGCAGCAGGCTAGTCACCCCATTGAGTCTGCTTCACCATTCAACAAAATAATGGCAGATCAGATTGTGACCTCAAACCCACATTCTAGACTAACCCCGCAACCATTCACTCTTGCTCAGCTTCCATCACCTTTTCAGGAAAAGAGCTGCAAAGACTTAAGAGCCTCTTGAATGGGCAACATCTTATTTTTGAAACAGTAATTGTCAGATCCAGTATGGGTGGCATCAGTGGTTAGCACCAGAGGCCCAGGTTAACACATCCATAACACCTCCGAATGTTGTAAAAAAATGCCCCAAGATGCTTCACAGGAGCAGAATCAGAAAAACAGAAGGTTTCAGAACAAAAGGATCAGCTAGGTTAGATCCTTTTAATCAGTGCTGATTGGAGGGAATGCTGGACTACTCCTGAATTTAAACATTCAAACAAAAACTGGTCATTATAATATTATTAAATTTGAGGATTTGACAGGCACAAATTGGCCACTATGTTTCCTGCATTACGGCAGAGACGACACTTAAACTGCTTCCAGCACCGTAAAGTTGGGACCTCTGGGAGGTTCTGAGAAATGTCATTGCAATGCAAGTTTTTTTTCCAAAAAAGTGCTGCCTCCCATGAAAGCAGAGACCTCTGCTTGAAGGGCAGGGGAAGTTTTACAGACATTGGCCAGCCTTCTTTCCACATCCACCGTCATTTTAAAATATATTTATTCACTGAATGTAAACGTTGCTGGCTAGGCCAGCTTTTAATGCCCATTCCTAATTGCTCCAAGAGTAGTTAAGGGTTAAGCACCATGGGCCTGGACACACATGTAGGCAAGACGAGGTAAGGAGAGCATATCCCATCCCTAAAAGATTGTGAATCTGATGGGCTTTTCTGACAATCAACAATGGTTTCACTGTCATGATTAGACTCTTAATTTGACCTGAAGTCCCCAGAACATTCCCCAATGTCTGGATTAATAGTCTCAAGATAGTACCACTAGACCATCTTCGCCCTCATGTTGTGTTTCACACAAGGCACAAATATACTGTGATAGTTATCTACACAATAGTGACTATGTCAGTAGATGCGAAATAAAGTTATTTTTGTTTACAAACTAATTTACTACACTTGTGGTTGTCTTCATCCTGTGGTTATGCAATTCCTAATTCATTATCCAGGATCGTTAGGATTTGTGCAATAGTGTGCAACTATAGGTCTGTAATTTTGTATAGTACTGAGACTTTAACTGAAGATTGCAGTATTGGTGACTATTGGTATGGCATTGGGACCATAACAATTCAGGATATTAAAACAGAAGCATCTCCAACTGATACAGATTAACATTCATCCGGAAGCTGATTTTGCACAAGGTACTAGCTACTAGACCAGGGACAAAAGCACAAACACTTTTTTAAAATTCATGCATGGGTTTTGGCCATCACGGCCAGCATCTATTGTCCATTAGGTGGTGGTCAGCTCTTTTCTTGAAGCATCACAGTCCATCTAGTGTAGACAGACTTTGAAGTTAGGTCAGAAGTTCCAGGGTTCGATACACTCTGAAGAAAGCGGTCCTTTGAGCGTCCTCTACTACTAGGAAGGACAAGGGAATAAGTGTATGGGATAAACCAGTGGTGGGTCGAGGTTCACATAGTACACAACTACTGGCACGGACCGGTTAAGGTGAATGTCCTACTTATAGCTTGTAGTATTACAGAAAAAGCAAACAAACTAGTTGCTGCATGTCAAACTGGATCGTGGTACTCACGTTTCTGTGCTCCATTGAAAAGAGCTCTGTCTTTGGGAGTGTCACCAACTTCAATAATCTTTGCACCTGCCAGAAGCTGCATGATGAGACCAGATGTGACAATCGGCGAAATACCAAGTTCCATCAGTGTACCTAAATTTAAATTTTTTTTTTTTTTAAATATCACTAACAATCACATTTCATTACTGCATTTACTACTTTCAAACTGCGCCATGTATTTTGGTTTTAATGTTACAGTGATGGTAATCATTTGGATTTTCAAACAGATACTGTTGACATTAAAATAAGGGCTCAAAATCTTTATGCCGTGTAATCTGGGATAAAGATCATAAAATACAATTAGAAAAACAACTCTTCCAAAACAAGATGGCTTCTTCAGAACAGCAGTTTGAGAAGTGGAAGAAAGCTTGTTGCATTGTTGGTCACTAAGAAACAATTAAATCGCATAAGTGAAAAAGTGCACAAAATGTTTATCAAATGTATTATGTAAATTAGCTTGTCTGTTTGAAAAAAGGATACAAAAGAACAAATTAACAAGAGAGAGACTGCATGGACAGATACAAATGTAAAAGAAAAATTGAGTGTTAGGAAAGAGTCATACATAAGGCACACAGAACAGTGAATGGTGAGAGATTAGAAAAGTTAAAAATTAATCTGGAAAGACAAAAGGGCACTTTGAAATAAAATTCATCAAGAGTCATTAAGCAAAAAGTGAGAAATATTTTACAAGAAAAAAAAAGGATTGTGAAGAGGGTAGCACCTTTAAGAGATAGACAGGATAATACCACAGATAACGAGGGGAGCTGGCAGAGAAGCTAATATTGTTTTGTTTCAGTATGAGGAAAATATAGTCAGTAGGCACTGAATGATGATCACCAAAATAAGTGCATTTAAAACAGAAAAGGAGTATTACTGAAAGTGCAAACATACAAGTTAGGAGTGGTGACTCATTCCCTTGAACTTGCTCCAATAATCAATGGGATCATGGCTGATTTGATTTCTCCACAATTTCTCTTAACCTGAATAACTTTTCACCCCCGTGCTTATCAAGAATCTACTTCTGCCTTAATATCAAAAAATGTTGCTTCTGCTTTTCAGGGTCTTAACCATCTGAGAGAAAAAAAAACTCATCTGTCTTAAATGGGTGATGCTTTTTGTGAGCAGTGATACCTTAAAACTCTGGATAAAATTCCAGATTCAGATAGAGGACATTCAAAGCTTTTGATAGAATCCGGTGAAGAAACAGCAGACCAATTAGGACAGATGCAATAATTTGTTAGAAACACAAATCAATGCCAGAGGACTGATAGACTGCTCATGTAGTTCTTATATTTGAGGACAAACCATACCCAGGGAAGGAAAGCCAGGAAAATTAATGGAAATCCTCTAAACCATAGAAAGGATCATTTTGAAATGAAAAGCATGAATTTCAAAAGGGAAAATCTTGCTTGACTATCTCCATTGACCTAATAGTGGGGTCTTCAAAATTTCTGATACAGGGTGAATGTTGCCTCTGTAGGAAATAGCATGACTAGAGACCAAAACAAGCTCACCAGCGAGAGATCCAATGGGGAATTCAGCGAATCTTTACAGCAGGAAGAACGCGCATTTACTACCACAGGGAGCAGTTGAAGCGAATAGTACAGATGCAGTTAAGCAGAAAACAGGAGACAGAAGAGATGTGGATGCAGCAATTTAGGAGTAGACTTGAGTGGAGCATAAGGAAAGGCATAGATAGTTAGGACTATGGTACGCTTCTCTACTGTGTATGCTCCATAGCTATGGACCTGACCTCCAAGTGACAAGTTTAAGTCAATGTGGAAGTGGTGTTGGACTGGGGTGGACGTGGTCAAAAATCACACGACACCAGGTTATAGTCCAACAGGTTTATTTGAAGACTCTGTGTGGACTATAATCTGGTGTCATGTGATTTTTGACCAAGTTTAAGCAAATTTGTTCAGGAGACAATCCTCCTGCTTCAGGTGATTTAGTTAGATATTCAATGCTCTAGAACCTCAAGCAAGCATCCAAGCAGGAATAATCCAATTTATAGCACCAGAACATGATTAAGGAAGAGCTCTGTATTAGCATTAGTACTGGACTTCAAAACGGTCACTCAGAGCAAATTAAAACTGTATACCAGACGTTTATGTGCAGGTGAGAGAAACCGACAGGACTAATAGCCCTCAGTGAACAATACAAGAGCTACAGAGACCGGCGTGGCCATATTAGCTAATTCCCTTCTTTTCTTTCCCTTTCCAGGAAGAAAGGAGAGAATATCGTTGAGTTCCAATTCAGTGATGTGGCCCACAACCGTAAGGAGCAAAGATCCATGGACACAGCACCTCATCTACCAACAGACACAGAGGTGGTAATTCCCAAATGTCTTGAGCCACACAAGTGCCACCCCTCTACCCTAACTGTCGACGTTAAGATTAATCTTAAATAAACTTCCATTACCTCTGTTTGAAGCCAAAATAACTCTCATCCAGTAGAAAGGATCTGCGGAGTCTGAGGACATGATACCAAATAAAGGAATCTGAAGAGATTAAAAACAAATATCTAACATGTAATTGCAGATTTCCTAATTCTAATCACACTCAAAGCAAATAGTAGGGAACCAACCAAATGTACTGGTGACATTCAGCTTCACAGCACCTCTGATCAGGAGAGGTAGTCAGCTAATTTCTTCTCTTCAGATTCCACTTAGCATTTTTATTTAATAATTATCATACAGCTTTAGAAATGTACTGTAAATTAAGCAAACCACCCCAAAATGAAAACTTTGTTTCCAGCCAAAATGCTTGGTGGTGTTAAAAGTGAACAAGTAACAGGAACTGACCTGGCAGCAGACTAAGAAGATGAAGAGTGTAATCGCTGTCCATAGTACTTTTTCTCTAAACTGAATCTAAAAAAGCAAAAATTAGAACATTTAAATATTGGGTTAAATCCACAAAATTCTAAAAGTAACAAGAGGAGCGTATTCAGCCCTTCATGCCCTTTTACCATTGAATTATACCACAGCTGATTTGCATGCACCTCTACTCCATCACCCAACTTTAATATCTTTTAACATGCCTGGTTATCAGAAACATAGAACAGGAGATTATTTGGCCCTTCAAGCCTGCTATGCAATTCAATATGGTCATGACTAATCACCCAAATCATCATCATGTTCCTGCTTTTTTCCCCCTAAACCCTTTGATCTCTTTACACCAAAGAACTATAATCAATCACTTTCAAAATATTAAATGTTTGGCTCAACCACTTTGTGGCAGAGAATTCCGTAGGCCCACCACTCATTTCTGTGCTAAATGGCCTATCCGTCCCCTACCTGCATCCTTAAACAGCGATCCTAATCTAATTTCAGAAACTGTTCCTGAAATTGTTCATTGGGCCAGCATCTTTTTCAATTTAAAAGCTCTTCACACTTTTACAAATATTTGTATTGAACAAACGGTCTTGCAGCTTCCCTCACCAGCAAACAAGATCTGCCCTTATTGTTTCAATCAGGTCATTTATAATTGGCAAGTTTACACACCATCCAAGCTTGGAGGACGCAAGCAAACAGCAATATATACAGCTATCGCCAATACAGAGTGGTACATGCAAGGTAAACCCAGAATTCTATTTCAAGGCAAGTCAGGCCAGGAAATACAAGCTAAATTTAAACACTGAAAAAAGTAAACTTAAGGGAGAGATCAGGGAAAAGTGTTTAAATGTCAAACTTTGAAACAATCTACCTTGTTAGTGAATGAAGTCATTAGGAGAATTAGAAACAAGCTACATCAGAATCTCCAGGCTATGATCAAACCTAATTTAGTATCCAATCTAAAATTTTCAGTGTCAAATAATCAACATCTCACAAATTAGGCCAAATATGGGGTTACCTCTAATCACTTTGTTTTTCTAGTGTGCAAGACACATTACAACACACTTTTCAACCAGTGTTCATTTGTGCTTTTCAAGATAAGTAACAGAAAATTTATATTCTTCATCAAACTTAAAAAAAAAGTTCCCCCTCAAATTGGTGGCGACTGTAGATATATTATCTGGGTACAGCAAAACAGCCATGTTACTGGACTGAAAATCTGGGAACACAAGTACACATCCCATAATTGCAATTCAGTGATTTTCTTTCTACTCATTCATGGGATATGGGTATCACTGGCTTGGTTAACATTTGTTGCCCACCACCAAGACAAGATGAGCCACTTTCTTGATCCGCTGCAGTCACTGGAGTGTAGGAGACATGCACAGCACTGTTATAAAGGGAGTTCCAGGACTGTCACCAAACAAAAATGAAAAACTTAGTGCCCTTTCCAGGACGGGTCCATAAGTTACTCCAGACCCTCAATGTCCCAGTAAACTATTCAGTTGTACTCAAGGCAGCAGTTCTAAGGGATAGGCAATGAATGCTGGCCTCGCACAAATAGAAAATCTGTTTTGAACAAGACATGGCATCTAGGAGGAATAAAAGGCAACTAAGTGGATATTTTGGGGACAGTGTTAGCTTCATCAACTATGCATGACATGGACCAAGTGCAGGTAAATGGGATTAGTGTAGTTTGGTTTTTATTGGTCAACATAGTAGCAGGCCCTTCATCCCCATCATGTCTAATGCTGATGACAATGGTTCTATTGACTGAAAATGTTAAAACCAAAAAAGGTAGGATTACCATAACTTGAATTTCAAATACAAATTTGTAAATAGTTCAGGTAAGTGTACTCACAAAGCACAATGTATAAGGCACTGAAAAAATAACACATGGAAGAGCCAGACTTTCACACCTGCACTGTCTTAATCCCTTGTTTATATCTCTAGACAGGAAGTATGTGCTCCCAGTGGCATGAGCTAGGACAAACAAACTTGAACCTGCCAATGAGAGCTTTAGTTTGAGACTAAATTCATTTAGCGAACAAGAAACTAGGAATTGAGTTGAGGAAGAGACAGATTGTGTGACTTTACATGTTAGGTGCTTTCAAGCATTCTCACATCAGCCACTTGTGATAGAATTCGACTTATCTGCCTTCAATATTGCTGGATTAAGGATCAACATCCATCATAGCGTAATACAGCTCGGAAACCAACCCTTTGGTCCAACTTGTCCATACATATAGACTAAGTCTCGCAAACCAAACTAGTCCTGCATTTGGCCCATATCCCTCAACATTTCCTATTCATATACCTATCCAAAAGTATTTTAAACAGTTGCAACTGAATCTGAATCTACCACTTCCTTTGGCAGTTCATTCCAGATATGAACCACTGTGAAAAAGTTGCCCCTCAGGTCCCTTTCCCTCTCACCATAAAATTATGCCCTCTAGCTTTGAGCTCCCCTACCCAAGGGAAAAAGACCTTTGCTATTTACCTCATCTACCCCTCAGGACTTCATAAACCTTGACAAAAAGTCACTCCTTCAACCTCTTGCACTCCAGTGAACAAAGTCCCAGCCTATCTAGCCTTTCCATTGGACTAAACCCTCCAATCCCAGTAACATCTTTGTAAATTCCTTCTGCACCCTCTCCAATTTACTATATCGTTCCTCTAGCAGGGTGACGAGAACTGTACACATTTCTTCAGCCTCACCACTGTCCTGTACAACCGCAACATGATGTTTCAACTCCTGTACTCAATGATCTAAGCAATGAAGGCAAGTGCTAAACGCCTTCATCACCCTGTCTACCCATGACGCCACTTTAAGGAATTAAGTACCTGAACCCCTAGGTCTGTTTGTGAACACTCCCTGAGCCCTACCATTGGCTGTGCAAGTCCTGCCCTTGTTTAAAGTGGCAGATGCAGATTGAGCCCACTGAAAAGACATTTGGAAAGGCATATGAATAGGAAAGGTTTAGAGGGATATGGGCCAAATGTAGGCAGGTGGGTCTAGTTTAGTTTGGGTAACTTGCTCAGCATGGATGAGTTGGATCAAAACTCATGTTTCTGTGCTGTATGACTATAACCATTTTAAAACCCAAAAGACAAAATAGCAATATCAACTTACTGTCCTTTGCTAATAGAAGTAACTGAGAAAACATAGCAAAGTAATGGGGAGATCGCATCACCTTGTCTCAGGTGGTAATATCATTGCAATGACTCAATTTCAGGTTTGAGCTCCAGAAACTGAGCATCTCATCCAAGTAATACTGCAATGCAGCACCAGGAACAGAGTGTAGCATCAGTGTTGCTGTTACCTTTGACAAGTTAAAGCACAATCATTTCAGGTGGTCAAAAATGAGCTCAGCTGACTGAACAAAGTCAGATTAACATTCTCATCCTTTTCCCATTTGTGAGATTAATTAAAGCCAGAATAACCGAGATAACAACGAATGCACTTCAAATTCTTTCACTGGCTGCGAAGAAATTTGGGATGAGGCGAGTTGATCCACATATTCACAGAAGACAAATTATCCATCTTTCTACAACACCACTTTTATGAATGAAAAAACTGCAGATGAAGAAAATGATTGACGAATTTACCTTTCTTTCTGGCTTTTGGATTTCTGGTAACACCGCACAGAATGGTTTGATAACTTCAAGGAATTTTACTGGAAAGCAAACCAAGGATAATTGTTTATAAAGTTACAAAAAAAAACAAACAAAATCAAAACCAAACATGCAACACTAAATAATTGCTAGGCCTGGCCAGGTCGTTGCAGTAAGAAACTTTTCATTACCAACCAACTTTTGGAGACTGTTTTTTTAAAACCCAAGTAACTTTGCCCAAAGAAATTGGCTCCTTGCTGGGGTATAATTTCCAAGACAATTCTTCTCTAACACATGTATCTGTTGAATATTCTTCAGGAAGCACATGTCTACTCAACAACAGCAGAAACATATTAAAGCCTGATGTCTGCATTCAATTGACAGCCATGGGATTTCATCCAAGACAGACCAAATACCGAAAGAAATAAGAAATCAACTATTCTCCAACTAGGGATCAAGGGAAATTGCAGCTCTTCTACTGATATCCTGTTCAACAGTAGCTAATTTGCCAACATAGCAGAAAGGGGATTAAATCCATATTTGTTATGACTCAAATACTCACTGTTCCATAAAGAAATACTATCGTAATGTCCAGTTTCAGAGATTTCAGGGGAGAATAATGGGAGAAACCTATCAACTCAATTTAATCCAATAGAACCTTGAAAAAAAGCTTCTCAGCTCCACAACCACCAATCTGTCACTTGATGCTGAAATCAACAGCTGCAACTTTTGAGATGTCGGTTTTATGTCCCAAGCTGAGTAAGAGTGTGGAACTAGAGCAACCTGACTGGGAATAACAAATTACAAGTCCATGAAACCCGCAACTTCAGTAGTAAGACATGGATTGCACATGCCAGATAGGGGAAAAGGCTGTACAGTTTCCACCTTTGCTGTCTCAAACATATCCTAGACAGGGTATGGTCACCAAGTCAATGATCCTGAAGCATACCAATTCCATCTTTGTCCACTCATTGCTAAGCCAACAACCACACTCATTTAGTGGATGATGACACCACACACAAACACCCCCTGAATGATGAAATGGCCACTGGATCATGACCTCCTGTGCATCCATACCTCCACTTTTAAGGACACCTCATAGCGGGATACAAAGATTGCAATCACAGCCAGTTAGGAGATAGTCACTGAGGGCCCTGATATCTGGAGGATCACTATTTGGTTGTGCACTGGGAGACAAATCAGAAAAGCTCAGCTAGGAAAAGAAGCCAGCTAACCATGCTCGTTCTCAGCCTGTATTCCTTTGTAGCAAATGGGCAGAGACTACCAGGCTAGAGCTCCTGAGCTGCACGAGGCCATGCTTAACAAGGTTGATCACCACAGCATAGACAATCACCTTATAAAACAGAAGGGTGCAAACGGAGTTGATGTATGTTTTTTAGAAAGGCAAAGACCTGATGAATGAGATTTTTTAAAATAATAAGAAGATTAGATTATATACAAGCAGGGCAAGTATTTAAACTAAATAGGTTAAAAATGAAACTGGGGCCACATGTATTGATTACGTGAAAGCTTAGATTGGATATTAGTTGTTTCTTTAAACATTAATACGTCTCCCAAGCAGTCTGATATGGCTTCAAGTAACAAATAGACTTGCTTCTGGCTGAGGTGGAGATCACAACCCAAGAGATATTCATTTCCCATCATACAAATCAAAGCCAAAGCAAATTCTGGCATTAGATTCAATGGCCTAAGTGGCCTGGAAAAAGATTTCACAGTGTGGGCGCAGAAGTGCAAGGTATACAGAGTAGGTTGGATGGACCTTGAAGTCACTTGCTGGCCATTATCTACGTTTGCAGGTATATAATGTGTTAGAGTACCTTCACAATTGCAGTCATACAAAGTGACATACATCATAAAGGCAACTGAGGTTAACAAACACTTAACCATTTATATACTCCAACAGCACACAATCCGAATTTAATTATCTGCACTCGTGGAGATGCTTCTAGTGATGGACAAACAAAAAAAAAAGACAGCCACAACTAGCTGGTGCAGTTAAAAACATCAGTTTCATATATAAACTCAAAATCACATAGATGGGGTGAAAGATCCATGAACATCTTCAATCCAGAATATAGAAATATCCATACATGGCCTTCTCAGTAAACTAACCAAACACGACTGCAGTTGGCTAACCAACACGTCTGAGGCAGGAACAAGATTACAAAAATACTCTGGAAATTTTAAGTTTTATTGGATAGGCACATAACCTTTTGATGCCCCTATACAGGGAGGTGCATGACCATACAGACCAGGTAGTTGCCTGAAAATGTTGCTACCAGATAAAGTACAACTGATTTTTGGTTCGATACAATTGAACCAAGAGCCTAATATTTTAGGGACTGCGATCGCATTACACCATTTTAAAATCAGAGCAAGGTTGCTGGTTCCTTGGCAAATATTTATCCCTCAATGTCACACAAGGGTGAGAGAACAGGAAGGGAAACCAACACAGGTGATTTTTGGGGCTACGACTTAATGTGGAACCAGACCATATTCATCTGCACCCCAATGCTGTATCTGCCCCAGCAAAAGATACCACAGTTACTATTCCGAGAAAATCACAGGAGCTCTCCCTGGTGCTCTAAGTGGAACGTTGGACAGCAAGCAACAGCTCCAAAATCATTGATAGTGGCAGCTTGCTGTGCACAGTGTTAATCCTTCAGAAGTATCTTGCCAGACATTTATCTTTTGAGTTATCCAGCAGTCAGAAAAAAGGTACCCTGGAAATCTTTCATTTAACACATCCAGAAGGTCAATCCTAGGCTGCAGACTACCCATCACAAGGAGGAGTGCTGCACGGGGTCATTGTACACATAGCAAACTTAACATATTCATCCTCTGAAAGCCAAGTTACAACATTAACAGCAATTTGGCACCAAGAAGTCCAAATCAAAAAAGATTAATGCATTGAGAAAAAACCCAGAAAACGAAATCAAATCAGTTGTCAAGAACTTGTTGCAGTAGACCATCAGTCAGGGTGGGGAAGTTTGAGGGAGTTAACTGGAGAACGGATTGAAGGACAATAAACTGGATAAAGTTGAAGGATGATGATGATGATGATGATGATGATGATGATGATGATGATGATGCATCTGACAGCGAAATATTGGGCGACGTGGCATTTAAACTAACCCCCACCACAGGCCCTAGCATCGCTTCCCCGAGGTCCTTGGGACAAGCTGCCCGACTGGGGCCGCGGGGTGGGGAGGAAGTAACTGACCGCTTGCAAGGGCGGTTGTTTTTCTAAATTAAACCCTATTAAAGTATTTACCTCCGTCCGGGTAGAGGCCTTCACTCCCTACTTCGAAGTTTGGGTTAAATCAGGGCAGTCTCCCAATTCACATCAAACCAGGCAGCAACAACAACAAGACTCCTCTGGTCCAGGCCCTGGGGATAGGGGCGCCGAACCCCGGGTTTTAAAAACAAAAATCACGCGAGGCCCAGGCTTGGCCGAGGCCTCGGGGATATATTTATTCACCCACACCCCCGTTCTCCTCCTCCCGCGGGGTACTCACTGCCCATGTTGGCGGCGGTCCTTCTGTTTTCCTCGCGGTCCGACTAGATTACGGGCCACTCTGGCCACTCACTTTCTCACTTCCACTCAGAGGAAAGTCCACTCGACGCCCGAAAGACACGTCAGCTCCCGGCAACGGTGGCGGGGACCATCCCTCAGCCTATCAGAGTGCGCCTCTGCGTACCACCTGACCCTAGCGCGTTATTGACTGGGCTATCAACCACTTGCGTGCTATGTACCCGCCCGACGAACCCAGCAGTCGTCCAATCACCGCTCGACAGTGCCGTAGCTGTTCTCCAATCACATGCCGTTCGTTTGTCCCGCGTGTCGTCCAATCGTGACCAGCTCTCGGATGCCACCTGGCCCGCCCACGTACGGGCAAAGCTCTTAGCCAATCCTGGTCCCCGTTTCCGAACCACGTGATTTTACACGTCCGCCGTCTGTTAGCCAATCGCACACCATAACGGTGTCGGCAGGCTTTATCCAATCACAGCCCTCTTTTGCCCTCCATGTGACCTTCGCGACGGGCGTGTCGGTGTCGCGGGCGCTGCGGATCTTGCCCTGTCCCCACACCGGAGCGACGGAAAACCCGAATGGGTTGGAGGCTATCTGACGGAAAACCCCGAATGGGTTGGAGGCTATCTGACGGAAAACCCCGAATGGGTTGGAGGCTATCTGACGGAAAAACCCGAATGGGTTGGAGGCTAACTGACGGAAAAACCCGAATGAGTTGAAGATGATCTGACGGAAAAACCCGAATGGGTTGAAGGCCGCCTGATCCCACAGTATCTTGAGGATAGGTGGTGTAGTGGTAATGTCCCTACCTCTCAACCAGGAGCCCTGGTTCAAGTCCCACCTGCTCTCGGGATGTGTAATAACATTTGTGATTAGGAAAAATACGTTAATAAAAGAAAAATCAGTAAGATGCACTGCATTAACTCATAATGCTTTTCCAACAGCACCTTCCAAACCCATGACCATTTCCATCTGGAAGGAACAAAAACAAAGTTGCTGGAAAAGCTCAGCAGGTTTTCCAGCAACTTTGTTTTTGTTCCTGATTTACAGCATCTGCAGATCTTTTGGTTTCCATCTAGAAGGATAAGGGTTGCAGATGCATGGGAACACCACCCCCTGCAAGGACTCCTCCAAGCCACTCACTCACCATGATTTGGAAATATATCGCCATTCCTTCACTGTCATTGGGTCAACATCCTAGGACTCCCTCCCCCAGGGCATTGCGGGTGTCACTACACCCTAAGGACTGCGTTGGTTCAAGAAGGCAGCTTACCAGCTCCTCTCCCAAAGTTACTCAAGGATAGGCATAAATGCTGGTCCAGTCCGGAATGCATACATCTCATAAACAGATTAAAAGATCCATTTGTTGCTGCTGATCCCTTCAATAATGAGGCCTTGATGCCACGTTGGGGTGCCCTAGCATCGAGCTCTCAGGGACCTAGGAGTATGATTCTGACTGAATTTAAGGAGGGGAGCAGTAAAATAGACTGCTGATTTAACTTAGGAGTAACCAAGACCAACAATTATCAGAACCACATGATTTCCGAGAAATGCCTTGGTTAAAATAATGTTCCGAAGCGTCTATTCATTGACTTTTTAAATAAAATTATCCAGGCATCTGGGAACATATGAACAGGGGTCGGCCATCCAGCTCCTTTAGCCTACTCCGCCATTCAGTGAGATCATGGCTGATCTTTGACCTAACTCAAATGCCCGCCCTTGCCCCTTTTCCTTAATACCTTTGCTTAACAAAAAAAAATCTATTTCAGATTTTAAATTAACAACTGATTCAGCATCTACTGCTGTTTGTGGAAGTGAGTTCCAAACATCCACTGCCCTTTGTGTGTAGAAGTGCTTCTTAACATCTGTCCCGAACAATCTGGCCTTAATTCTCAGACTATGCACCTAGTTCTAGAATCCCCAACCAGTGGAAATAGTTTATCTAGCCTGTCTTTCACTGTTAATACCTTGAGGGGTTGAATGGCCTTTTCCTGTTCCATGTTCCTAAAACAGGCCTAATTTGTATAATCTCTTCTCATAACTTAACCCCTGAAGTCCCGGTATTATTCTTGTAACATAGCTCCCCAGTCCTTCAAATGTAATTCCACAAAAAAAATTCAATCTTTATAACACTAAACTAAGTCCAACTGGATACACTGTGTGTGACTAGTGGCATATCAGTGAAAATACAACAGTTAGTGCAGAAACATCAGCAGTATGAAGAACAATTGCAGGAGTGAGACAAAGGCTGCAGGAAAATGATACCGTAATAGGAACATTACTGAAAGAAATGTTGGCCAATATCAAAGTTTAAGTTATCTATAAGCAGATCTGCGTGATGCTTAACAAAGTGCAAGTTATTGCTTTAAAAAACATGCTCTTGAATTTCTTTTTTCACTCATCAGGACAGAATTGCAAGAACATCAAATCTCAAAGGGAACAACAATTTCTACTGCATGAGCAGAGGATGCTGGTTGGTTGACAATGGACACTGATGGAAGGGGCAATGCCATGGAGAATACACCAGAGAACAGTTCATATGAGTCTTTTCAGAGACAAAAAAACTCCAGATGCTGGAATCCAAGGCAGACAAACTGCAGGCTGGAAGAACACAGCAAGCCAGGCAGCATCTGGAGGGAAGGAGCAGTTAACGTTTTGGGTGTCACCCTTCTAGCAGAGAATTTCTTCAAAATGGGCATCCTTTGAAGGGACTTTGCAGTGGTATAAGCTTGGTTAGAGACAAAAAAAGGATAACACACAAAATGTTGACTGCTCCTTTCCTCTAGATGCTGCCTGGCCTGCTGTGTTCTTCCAGCCTCCTGTTTGTCTGCCTCATACAAGTTTTGTTTAATTTCAAGCCAAGCAAGTCCCCCTGTGATTGGTCACAAGGCATTGCTATGACTAATGATCCAGTCAATGGCTTTGGTGGTTGAATAAGGCACAATGTGAGGTCATGTTCTTTCAGTTTGAAAAGGACAGAGCCCTGAGGAGGAATATGTGAGGTACTGGCATGCATGAGAACCACACTGCAGGTTCTGAGAGACAGCTCAGTAAATTTTTAAGATTAATATATTAGAACTAGGAGCTGGATTAGGCCATTCAGCCCCTCGAGCGTGCTCCGCCATTCAATATGATCATGGTTGATCTCATCTCAGATTCAATTCCACTTTCCTGCTACTCTCCATAATCCTTCACCCCATTACTCATTAAATATCTGTCTCTCTCCTCTTTAAATTTACTCAATGTCCCAGAATCCATAGATTCATGGCTCTTTGAGAGAAGTAATTTCTCCTCATCTCTGTTTTAAATCTGATAACATCTTATCCTAAAACTGTGACTTCTCATTTCAAATTGTCCCACATGAGGAAACATCCTTTCTGCATCTTCTTTGTCATCCTTAGCATCTTATAGACCTCAATCAGGTCTCCTTTCATTTTTCTAAACTCCAGAGAGTATGGGCATAAACTGCTCAATCTCTCTTCATAAGACAAACCCTTTGTCTCTGGAATCAATCGAGTGAACCTCCTCTGAACTGCCTCAAATCCAGTAAGGGGACCAGAATTATACATGATGCTCCAGGTGTGGTCTCACTGATGCCTTGTACAGTTGCAGCAACAATTCCCTACTTTTGAACTCTATTTCTTTAGCAATAACTACCCAAATTTAATTTATAAATTTATATTTATAAATTAGAAATTCGTATGACAACTCCCTACATGAAGTTATAGAATCATAGTCACAGAGTCATACAGCACGAAAATGGGCCCATCTGCCCAACTTGTCCATGCTGATCAGATTTCCTAAACTGAACTCGTCCTATATGCCTGCATTTGGCCCATATCCTTCAAAACCCTCCTATCCATGTACCTATCTAAATGTCTTTATTGTAGCCATTGTACCATGCTCTAACACTTCCTCTGGCAGCTCATTCCATATACGCACCACCTCAGTTCCGCTTCAGGTCCCTGTTAAATCTTTCCCCCTCACCTTAAATGTATTCCCTCCAGTTTTGAATTCCCCTACCCTGGGGAAAAGACCTTGGCTATTTACCTTATCTCTGCCCCTCATTATTTAATAAACCTCTATAAGGTCACCACTCAAACGCTCCAGGGAAAAAAGTCCCAGCCTATCCAGCCTCTCTTTAAAACTCAAACTTTTCAGTCTCAGTAACATCCTTCTTAATCTTTTCTGCACCCTTTTCAGTTTTAGTAACATCTTTCCTATAGCAGAGCGATCAGAATTGTACACAGTACGTCAAATGTGGCCTTACCAATGTCTTGCACAGACAGCATTTCTCGTCAAGTGGACCTCATAGACAGCAGTCTTCATCAAGTAGTCTTTGCCAGGCAGATGGAAGATGGACGAGGAGGTGTGGAGAAAGACAGAGGGAAGAGTTCCCTGACACCTCGGTTAGAGAGCAGGATGCTACTCCCACCTCTTCACTACGACTGAACCTTTCTGAACCTGTTTGTCTTCTGGTTTGAGTGAACCATCCCCAGTTGTCAGAGTTGTATACTTTCTTTATCTAACTAAGTAATGTATCATATCTAAACTACTGCTTCTGAACAAACTCAATAAACAATCAGAAAATGACTTGCAAATCATTGACTGTGACCATTAACAAGACCCTGAGGGGTCTTCAAAAGGCAGCGGAAACAGAATCTTTCAAAATTTATAAGGCAGAGGTAGATAGATTCTTGATGACTAAGGGGGATGAAGAAACATCGGGGGATATGCAGGAATGTAGAGTTGAGGTTAAAATCACATCAGCCATTGAATGGCAGAGCCATCTTGAAAGGCCGAATGGCCTACTGTTGTTCCTTGTTTGTTTGTGAAAGTGGTTAAATGGCTGAAAAAAACTTCGAGCCATCCTGAGTCACGAAAGCCACTATTTAAATGCAAATCTTTCTGTAAAAGGGCAATCAAAGAATATAACTGTGAGGAACGCTGCTTGGTTTAACTCAAGCTATTAGTGAGTGGGGGAGCAAGGACGGGACAAAGGGCAGCACGGTGGCTCAGTGGTTAGCACTGCAGCCTCACAGCACCAGGGACCCGGGTTTGATTCCACCCTCGGGCGACTGTCTGTGTGGAGTTTGCACATTCTTCCCCGTGTCTGTGTGGGTTTCCTCCGGGTGCTCTGGTTTCCTCCCACAGTCCAAAGATGTGCA